ACATATTGACCTTTATGAAGTCCATAACTGTATAATATTAACTTGGAAAGGTTCTATGAATCTGTCAAGTAGATGATTTGTATTTTCTGTTACAATTGTGTTTAAAGATATTTAAAGTTCTTAACAACTAATCTTCAGTATTTAAGAAATAAATAACAAGTTTATAAACTTCAATGGGAATTGAAGTGGGTCGGTCACGTGATCAAATCCTGTGAAGGCCGAAGGCCTTCTCAGAAGATTTGATCACGTACCGACCCACTTCAATTCCCATTGAAGTTTATAAACTTGTTATTTATTACTTATATATACATTTGAGACAGACAATTGAATATTTTCGAATTGAATTATTGCACTAACCGTCCGTCGTATATTTTGAACCAGAAGTCTCTGTCGAGACTGTAGCTCTACTGGTTTATACTTAAAACAAAGGAAGAGAAAAGTAGCAGTTGGGACTTGAGACTTTAAATCAGCAATAAATAGAAAAATGATCCTTGCCACTCATCAAAATAAAAACCAATGCACAGAATTATGTATCTTAGTATAGTCTACTTGTGTGCCAAGTTATACTGAAATCAGACCAAAACTGTAGGAGGAGTAGCATTTTGAAAGAATTTCACAGAAATTTCTATTTTTAGTAACCACGGCAACACCGTTCATCGAAATCAAAAACCGATGCAAAGAATTATGTATTTTAGTGTAGTCTACTTGTGTGCCAAGTAATATTGAAATTGGAAAAAAACTGTAGGAGGAGTAGCATTTTGAAAGAATTTCAAAGAAATTTCTATTTTTAGTAACCACGGCAACACCGTTCATCGAAATCAAAAACCGATGCACAAAATTATGTATCTTGGTGTAGTCTACTTGTGTGCCAAGTTATACTGAAATCGGACCAAATCTGTAGGAGGAGTAGCATTTTGAAAGAATTTCAAAGAAATTTCTATTTTTAGTAACCAAGGCAACACCGTTCATCGAAATCAAAAACCGATGCACAAAATTATGTATCTCAGTGTAATCTACTTGTGTGCCAAGTTATAATGAAATTGGACCAAAACTGTAGGAGGAGTAGCATTTTGAAAGAATTTCAAAGAAATTTCTATTTTTAGTAACCACGGCAACACCGTTCATCGAAATCAAAAACCGATGCACAGAATTATGTATTTTAGTGTAGTCTACTTGTGTGCCAAGTTACATTCAAATGGAACTAAAACTGTAGGAGGAGTAGCATTTTGAAAGAATTTCAAAGAAATTTCTATTTTTAGTAACCATGGCAACACCGTTCATCGAAATCAAAAACCGATGCACAAAATTATGTATCTTAGTGTAGTCTACTTGTGTGCCAAGTTATATTGAAATCGGACCAAAACTGTAGGAGGAGTAGCATTTTGAAAAATTGTTTACAGACAGACAGACAGACGGACAGACAGACGGACGGACGACGGACGCATTACTATCGCATAAGCTCTTCTGGTCTCTGACCAGTAGAGCTAAAAATGACGCAAGGTGTAAATCGGCTTGCATGGCGGTTACGCTTCGAATTCATTAGGCTAAGGAATCTGTTTCGAGGGGAATATTTTGTGAAAGACTACTTGTGACCAGTAATAGTGAACAGATTGTTGTTTGGGAATAATTTTACTCCTGAAAAGACACAAGAAACACGTCCGAAGTTTGATGATAAAAAGTTGGAGGAATTTCGGTCGCCGGAAAGGGATGGATGGATCCGTTGGATTGAGACACTTGTCCGAGCCAGTTAATTTGCAATTTGATCAAAAACATTCTACGATTTCAGTAACTAAAGGCATACTTATTGTAAAACACTGATAAACACGGAGACACAGGCGACAGCTTTACCATGTTTACATTGAACTACGAAAACACTGAGGTGTTTGGCAGCTGTTCATGGCATGACTGCAATGATATTTTCCAACAGATTTACACATTTATCGTGAGTAGAATTTAAAGATAAAATAATAGTTTATCATGAAAATTTAACGAAAGTTCTACCCAAAAAATAAGGATGAACGTTAAAGACTGTGCAGCTGACAAAATTGAAAAAAAAATGTAAACAAACGCTAGGCCTAGGCCCCTAACGTGTTAGTTTTCTCTATGTACACAGGTTGAATCGATAGCCAACAATCTGAAATACTATTTTACAATGTAAATAAAATAATTATCATTTTACTTGCTTCTTTTGTTCATTTTTGTACATGAAAAGCAAGTAGAGCAGGTCATTTTATAATTTATGTACTGGTAAATATTATTGCGCCGTGTGATTAGGTCACGTATTGACCTCTGACCTCTGACAAACTTCATACAGAATTGAAGATATTTTCTCTCTGTATGTTTATATAATAGAGAGATACCACAAATGTATATATGTACTGTTAACGAATGTTTGAAATATTTTTAACAGTGTTTGAAACTCGCTGTAAAATTAGCTAGACATGAAGGGCTGACTGCTAGTGAAAGTTGTCAGCCCTACCAAAAATGTAATAGCCCGAAAAAAAATTGTCTTTTATAATTTGGGTATTAGCAATAATGTGAATGGGGCCAGCTCACCATACATTCGATCTCGGACATGTAGACTGATGAATTATACCAGTTTGCTTGTTACACTTTGCAACCAGTAATATTAGTTGATTTGAGATAGTGTTATTTATATCTGAGTTTTAATTCAATGGAAAAATTTTACACGTCCAGCCGGGCATCAATACATGCAAATCTGTTTGCCCATGACAAAATCTATGTGTCTCGGGCTGTCGGGTGCACAGTTATTTCAAACACTGTTTTAGCAAAAAAAAATTGGAATTTTTATAACTTTAATCATTAATCAAATAAAAATAACTTATTTGTTTGTTTATTTATTTTGGATTACTGTTCTATATCCCAAATCTGTTTTGCTTTTTTAGGCACATATATCAAGCACTTGTCCTCGCTTTGCCTTGCCAATGACCAAATAAATGGTTGTCAATGACTACAGTATCTGAAGATTCTTTAAGGAGTTGAATGTCATACAGACCTCTGCCTATGGCTGCTAAATTAAAGCTTGACAGTTTTATGTGAAGAATTAAAAAAAATATATAGGAGTATGTAAAGAAATGTTGTAACTGTAAATGAAAGTAACTTTTCTCTATTTTCATCTAGGTTAAAAAATGTTTCCATAAATGTACATTTAGTTGATTGAATCATTTGCTTCTAAAATTGTGAAAAGTATGTGTCCATTGTATATAAAATTAAGGCAGTCTTTTCAATAGTTATTTAAGGAATAACTGTCAAGTTCGTAGAGTATGCCAGGGCATCAATGATAGTTGAAAATGTGGGATAATTTGCATAACAAGTGAAGCTAACTAACTAGACATAGCTGCAGATCTGTAGCTCTCCGAAAAATATATATTGATAGATAGCTGCAGATCTGTAGCTCTCCGAAAAATATACATTGATATCCGGTCTATCAATATATATTTTTCGGAGAGCTACAGATCTGCAGCTATTATAAATACTGCATTCTGTCAATAGCTAAGGGTAACCCTGGTATTTATTATTTGAAAGAATTTTGTTCAATTATAAGGTATGACTAGAGGCTTTGGACCCTTCAGCCCTAGGGTTTCAGTTTCCAATTTTTGCAGCTATAAAATGACTTGGAGTTGTAAAAAAGGGTCTTTGAAGGAAAGTACGTAGCTTGAATCCCTATCCTCAATAGAACCTATTTTTTCTTAATATTTATTTTGTGTGATCCCTTGAAGAAAAAAAATAATTAGAGCAAGTTATTAAGTATGTTGATTCTCCAAGGATGAATCCAGGATATGTCTTTGTACTCTCATTTCATCCAGTATTTGTGTATTTTTTTCTCTCATATTCCCATTTATAAATATTTTTTATTTAAAAAAAAATAAATAAATAAGTCACTCCACCTTGTTATGTTAATTTAAAAAGTTGTCCATATAATTTTGAAGCGATATGAGCAAAAATAAATCGATAAAAATAACCTTTTGCAGATTTATTAAGAACAGGTGCGTGTGGTGGATTTTGATCCGCTCCCGATTAAAACAAAAATGGCGTCGTAGAGCAGACGCTTCGTACTCGTCGTAATTTTAGTGAAATACTGCAAGTCGAAATATTATCTTGGATAATTTCGTTTAGTATCATTGCATGCAGGAAAATATTCATTTGATTTTCACCAAAATATGACTGATTCTGTCAGGAAAGTGGAAATCTAGTCGAAAATTCTATGGCATGTCCTGTCGCACGACTGCTCTTTTGTGTGTTTTCAAAGACCTGAAATATCACCGGTGAGTTTATTAATTCTAAACAACTATTTCTTTCTCGGAAACGATTGGTGGTTTGAAAAAATTGTGTAATTTATGTATCTTGCGAAAAAATTACAAATAACTACCGTTTGACATATTTTTAAACGTAAAAACGTAATTCGGCAATAATGGGTACTCGGCAATAATGGGTACTGTGACGTTAGGTAAAACAAATAATTAAGGAATAACTGTCTTATTTTTCGATTTCATGATGTGATCAATCGATTGCCTTGCGTGATAATTTGCGTTTATGCATAAAATTATCACGCAAGCCAATCGATTGATCATCGTCATGAAATTGAAAAATCTGACAGTTATTCCTTATATTTACATGCTTTGATTCCGCCAATCCACGTGCTCCAAGCCCTGCTTCTGTCTAGCTATTTGTCCCACCCTGTACGTGATTTTTGTCCCAACCGCGCCAAAACATTGATGGGGAAATAAAGTACATTTACAATTTGTAATTTTATCTCGGAAAAAGACATTGGAGATGTAAATATAATGAAATCAATTATGGAGCTTTCAAACCTTTATTGGATGCTTAGGATCAATTGCAGATATTTATGACACTGTACGATTTAAGGCATTAGAAAAACTTCTAGAGTACTGAAAATCTCATAACGCTTTTAATACGACAATTGTTATCATAATCACGTAAAATTCAAAACGAAAGAATTACTGTCTTAGATTATTGGAAGTTTTGCCTAGAAGGATGATAATTTTCAGGTCTGCTTCTAGACTTCTTTATGCTCTTTATCCTCTTCTTCGTCTTCTTCGCTGCGTTTTCCAAAAAGAAAACAAAATTGACAGCAGCAACCCAGAAATCCTATGATAGTCAGAGCACTTAGAGCAAGAAGGGAGATTTCCATGTATTCTATCCAATGTACGAGGTCCTTGAGATAAACAGCTGGTGTCTTCTTACTGTCTAACACTACAAAGAATCTATATATACAGTCAAAGCTCGTTATCTAAAAAGTGAATGGTCAAAGAAAAATTCATAAAACCAAAAATTAAACTTTAAGATATGTCACTCGTCAGCTTTTTGTAAAAGTTCACACAGAACCTCTTACATCAAAACTATTTATTAAAATTCAATTTTTATAACATATTTAAATCAAACAATGTTAATATTTTAACATTCAACGAAAAAACTGCTCAAAAAGCTACAAAGAAGCAAGATTTATGAGGGACTATTTCTTGTGGTGTAAGGATATTTAGCAGATATGTCTGCAAATCTGCACATTTATTATAATTATATAATATCTTGGAACTTCAGCCTCACATACTTTTACTCGGAGAATATTTTCCGTTATGATATTGCGAGGAATATTCAATATAGGTCTTACAGTGTAATTTATATATTTAGATCAAGTTTTACACATTACTTCAACAAACTTTGCCAAGAAATAAGGATATGTCAAATAAGTCAAGATAAAATTTACACCATGTTTCGCCTGAAAATCACATATTTTGACCAATATTTCAAAATTAACATCACTGACCCCAGTTTTTTCTTTCATTATTTTATAGTACTCGATACTTGCGACTGATCAGCACTTAAGCCGTACAAAGTTTGATTTAAGAAAATGTTTTATTGCCTATTTAGTTTTTTAATACCCCAAATATGTTACTTTTTATTGCAAAAAAGTCACACAATAATTTACGCGCATTAATTTGCAAGATTTGTTCAATGATAAATATTATTCAAATTATTTTACGTGAAAGAAAATAATATTTATTGCCATGGTTACATCTGATAAAATAAGATAAAGGTTAAAGCAATTAACCAAAGTTAAAATTTAAGTGCAAAAGGTCAACTTAATTGTACCGTAGATCAGTAATATGCACACTGACCCCCTATTTTTTCTGCGATTTTAAGTCACACTATATAAGTACTCATCCAAAGTATACGGGGGGTCATAAAAAAGTTCGACAGCTAATTGAATAACGCCCACAAAAGAAACAATATTTGGTTTTAGTGTTGATTATATTTTAAATTTGTCCTCTCCGATTTTAATGCACATCTGCCACCGTTCTGCTCATGCGCGAATCACGTGATATAGGCGGTCACGTGACCCCCTCCGTAGCCTTCTGTCACAAAAGCTGAACGAATTTTCTAAGTTTTATTATTTCTTTAAATATTAGTTAATTTTTATAACAAGAACAGTTCGTTTGTCAGAAATGGTCAGATCTTGGCAACAGAATGGGTAGATAAGAACACCCTCTTCAAAAATAAGCATGACGACCATCAAAACCCAGATCTCCTGTCTCGGGAAAGACGTTTATTCAAGGTGGATAGAGAATTGGCGCCTCCTTTTTTATCATACTAGTATCTAATATGTTTAAAATCTAAAGTAAACGATATCTTAGGTAATTAATAATTATATTATTGTTGAAATATTCAACTATTTTTCAAAGTGTAAATTGAAGGTCTTTGATAGCAAATTGCTTAATAAAAAACACATCTCTTTTCAAACTTCCTTTCACTGGACAACATAACAAGCATTGTTTTAACTATCTGCCTTCCTTCACTAAAACGATCAAACCAATAATATTATTGATTTAATCTATAGGAAGTCATTTTTCTTAATAACCTGTGTACAAATTATTATACACTGCTTCAAAGGGATTTCTAAGATATAGCATAAATTTTATAGTCGTTTGTTGAACGAACACTCCTGAGACGACAAGTTTTCGTCAAGAGTGACCTATATAGTGACGTCTTTTCGCATTGTGACGTTACAAACAAGGAGCAAAACTTTATTCAGCATATGCTATTTATAGCACTTGTGTATGGATATGTGTGTACCAATTTTTATTTCTAAACTGAATTATGGTTTTGTAGATATAGAAATAGTTCGCGAACTTTTTGATCACCCCTCGTACTTCTCAAAAAAATCTTTGATTTAACAAATTTCACTAGTGACATACCTTAAAGGTTTTGTTTTTAATTCTTAAAAACAGGAAGTAAAGTATGGAAGGTGTGGTGAAACTTTTGGACACATTTTCTGACAACTACCTCGAAAGTAACTCATTTTGTACTTGATATGATTTTTTATACGTTCTATCATATCTAATAAATCCTATATATGAGTAGGCAAGTATACAATGACAATCCAAAGAAAACTTTTAAATGACTGCTGTTAAAAAAAAATCCCGTGGCTAAATTGAAAAAAAGGTAGCAGAAAAGAACTAAAAACATCCTTTAGATACTAAAGTTGGAAATATATTTATTTATTTTTTTTGGTTAATTCACTCTATGTAAATGGTTATAAGTTTTGAAGTATTTTTTCAATGTTAAATGTACCTTCTCATCGACTTACTTTTTTCATTTTGTTTAAGTCCTAAAGGCAAGCACGAAAAGATTGATATAAAAAGTAGATCGAAAGCAAAATCGCAGATTGTTACCTTCACAAGCCATTTCCAAGATTTCAAATTCCAGTGTTTTCAAGGCATCAAAATTAGTGACTGTAAAGACCTTTTGGGGGTCTGAAGCAATGTGTTTTAATTCAGCCATATTCACTCCACCACCAATACCAATGGCAAAGGTTTCAATATTCATTCGATGAAGTTTCTGGGCTTGCAAGATGGTAGCCTTTGCATCATTTGACATTCCGTCGGTCATTACGATAAGAATGTTAATCACGTGTTCTCTGGCCCCGGATGTTGGTTTAAAATCATGCGCCATAACATTTGCCAAAGCTAAATCAGTATGAGTGCCTCCCGCTTGGTATGGTATTTTGTCAATAGCATGGAGCAGTGTTGTTTTCGTCGTATATTTATTCATGAAAAATTGATGATGAAAAGTTGTAGAAAAAGTTTCAACTCCAACAAGGACATCACTGGGTCCTATTTCAAACATGTTGGAAAGTTTCTTCACGAAGTCCAGCTGCTTTAAAAAGTTTGTTGAACCCACAGATCCCGAAGCATCAAGTAAAAACACAATGTTTGCTGGCTTTGTAGAACAAACTGAAAAAAATTAGATAACGGGAATTTAAAAAGAAATAGATGTACTGCGAACTAAACACTTAAATAGCTCCCTAAATTATGTCCCCTGCCTCCAATATGGTTATAATGGCAAAGTCCATGTTTTACTCTGGTAGACCCAAAATATGTCAGATCAAAAAGTAAAGAGGGGGCATACATTGACATTTTTAAATAAAGAATCAGTGACATTATAAAATTTTATTCAGTGTTAAAGGAGGAGATGTGGATAAGAGATGGTACTCTTCAATATTATAGAAAAATACCCGTGTCAATGTTTTGCTATGGAAAACCAAAATTATGCGTCCGATCAAAAAGTAAAATAGAAGGTGCACAATGGCTTATGTACGTGTCAAAGAATCTGTGAAAATCTGATTAAATTTCATTCAGTGGTATAAAATGAGTTGCGGATAAGGGATGGGTATCCTAAAGCGTAACAGACGGACGGATGAGCGTACAACTAGCTATAGACGGACGGACGTACAGACGGACGAATGGATGGACATCCCGATCACGATATACACTTCCACTTTTCAAGTGGGAGGTATAAAAACTTTATATGCTCTTTCTTAATTTCCCCTCAATACCCTCTGTTTATAAAATCTATTTGAGATAATTTACTTGCCAGGTTTAGATTAAATATCCTTCCTCATCAGAAGTCATAAAACGTTAACGTCGTTTTCACGTTAAATGTAGGTGGAATATAATCTGCAACATTGACCAAGTAAAATTCAACGTTGTTTCAAACTTTTAACAAAGTTGAAACACATTAAAGATGTAACATATTTTCAACGTTGAACGTTGAATGTTCGTTGATTTTTCAACATTTAAACAACATTGAAATTTATCATATTTTTAACATTGAATATAGTGTTATTATATCCCCCGCTTGAAAAGTGGAAGGGTGTATAGTACCGGTAATCGGGATGTCCGTCCATTTGTCCTTCCGTCTGTTACGCTTTGATGTACCAATATCTTATCCGCTCATACCACTGAATGAAAGAACTGCGAACGATAGTATTGTTCTCCCGCCTACCTCCAAGTCAGTTTTTAAAAGTTAACCTTTTATAATGATTTTTAGTACTTTTGTAGATATTTGTATAGATTTTCATAAAACATTACTTATTTGGGACAACAACGAGAGCTAATTTTAAAACTGTAGTAAAACTTGTGTTTTTCACTATAGAAATCAGCATAAATATATTTTTACCCCCCCCCCCACCCCCACCCCCGTGAAACAAAAATTCCTTTTTAAGGGTAATATGGACTGTCATTTAGCAAATTCATACCAAACCTTTATGTGTTTCACGGGGGGGGGGGGGTACGTTAATATAGACAAAAATGGCAAAAAAATGTTATTTTTTCACCAATTTCAAAGCTGTTTACAACTAAAACATTGTATTTTATTAATATATATGTTTAATTTTATATGCGTCAAACATAAAAAATATCTAAGAAACATTTAATCATATTCAAGACGATTTCAAAATATGGTGCAGCTTTCATGTCCGAATTCAATGAAAAATATCGTGTAACCCCCCCCCCCCCCCCCCCTCTCTCAATTATTTCAAGAACTAAAATTAAGGGTAGTCTACTACATGTATTTGGCACTGTTTTAAAATATTCAATCAATTACCATGGAAATGCGTTTTATATTAAACAAATATTTGAGAACCAAATTGTCATTAATAATGAATTAAAGGGTATGAAATGTAGGAGGGAATCTAGAGTTAGCATATTTTCAAAAGGTAATGCTTGGTGAAATTGCAATGTTGAAACGACGTTGCAACATTGAGCAAGTGTAGTTCAAGGCTTCAACGTAGAATCCTCGACCTTTTTACAACGTTGAAACACATTGAAGATGCAATATATTATCAATGGTGAATGTTCGTTAATATAACAACGTTAAAACAACATGGAGGATGCAACATACTGCATGTGTACTTAAAAAGAGCGGATTTCATATTTTAGCGGCTTTGGCACAGCAAAGGATGCACTAATTCATGAATACCACTAAGAAATCGTTTATAAATAAAATATATTGCGCTTTAGTGTATAGCGTTCATTCATGACTACGCCAACAACTCAATACCCGGTGATTCCGCTAAAATTTAAATACGCCAATTTATGTACACGTACAATATTTTAAACATTGATAAAGTGGGGAAAATTTATGGGTGAAACAAAGGGTAATAAGCACCTGATTTTTTATGCTTTTTCAATGTAAGTTTTGCAATATATAAAAAGAAAATTATTTGTGAATGTATCATTTTTGCAGAAGAGGGTTTCCATTGCACCATATTTCGCGAATCATTGTAAAATGAAGTGTATGTACGGTCGTAAGGTATACCTTTACTAAGATGACTAAAAATTACACTGATAAGAACGAAAAACCACCTATTGCACACTGTACAACTATGATTCTTGTGTTAAATTCAATTTCAAATAACTAGGTCAATGTCCTACTTTTCATGCTAGTGGACCCGGAGTACATGTGTACTTCTCAGAAAATACCTCAATATTTCACACTATGACCAATTTTTTCTTTACTCACAAAATATTACAAGCAATACAACTCTTTAAATAATGAAATATTATAGCAATGGAACAGTGTTGTTTCATATAAAGAAACTATTAGAGTTTGGGCCATTATTACAGTCCGAATTTCCTCTGTCATATTTATAGTTTTCCCCATTTTAATTGAAATTTTTTTTAAAATCTGAATGATGAGAACTCTAAATTATTGATACCCCAGGTTACTTTTGTTGCCCTAATTCTCATGGCTATAATATTATATGGGGTTAATGATCAAATTATTGAGATATATTGTCTGGAATGGTTTTTGTTCATATTTTTGAATTTATTTAATAGCATCCAATTATTTGAAATAATTTATGAGCTTTAAAACATATAATACTTGAAAATGATGTTTAAAAATACAATATGTAACCTTTGCATTGTAATCAATATTGCAGGAAATATTAAATTTTGACAAAAATGAAAAAAATTAGAAATTTAGTCCGAATTTCCTCTGCATTAACATACATTGATTTTTGTTCCTGTTTATTTTCTTCGAATAATAAAACATTTTTGTTTTATATCGATGTTAACTAAAACCTGGTTATTTTATCCATTTAGATCATTTTTTTATTTCACATATTACACTTTATGAAATTAAAATAATTTCCTTTCTGTTTTCTGAAACCTAAGTAACCGCATCCTTAAAGCATTTTTTTTTTTACATAATTTATAAAATTTAACAATATTGAGAAATCATAATCTGACATGCAAAATTTGCTTTGAAGTGCAAAAATTGGAACTCTCTCATATAATCCTTAAGAAAATATTTGAGACGATCGATTAAAAAACCTAGATTTCTTCTAAACATGCATTGACATATGGAGTCAATGTAAGTATACAGTTACATACGTTATAAAGGAGATGGGGAGCGAAGTGTCTTAGCGCGACAAACATCAAGGTGAAAAACTGAATCTCAATTTTATCAGTTTTTTCCTTTATATTTCATCTGACAGAAAAAAGTCTGCTCTAGAGTTGCGAAGTAAGGAGTAAATCTTACGTCGCGGGTTCGAATACCACTGTGGGATGTGGAGACCGTATAAACCGAAGTCCGGTGTCGCAGTAGGTGCTGGCACGAAAAAGCTAAGATCACTCACTACGCAATGGCCCTCAGTGCCAAGTATAGGACAAAATTTGCAGCTCTCCACCGGCAAGTGGTGGCGCATCTCCATATGAGCAAAAAATTCTCGAGAGGGACGTTAAACAACATGCAATCAATCAATCGACCTAACAGAAAAAATCCTTTTTGTAAAAATCTTAACTTTGCAAAAATCTCATGAAGATTGACGTTATTAGCCAATAAAATATCAAACAAACAAGAAAGAGGGCAAAAAGCGTCTCATTATTGCCTTTGAATGCTAAAGACTGCGTTTTAAACGCAAAGATCATTGCGTTAAAACTCAAATCACTTTGCGTTTAATCGCTGAAAATTTCGATCAAATGCAATCTTTTGCGTTTATACGCAATAATATTGCGAAGTTCCCCAATCTTCATTCTGGTTACTCCCCTATGAAAGAAAACCCCAGCAAATTGCAGGGTATATTATCGATCATTGATAAATTTTACCTGTAAGAGATTATTGTTTCCGTAAACACATTTGAATTATTTCTGTTTGAAATAACATCCTCACAGACACAATTTTTGAGGTTCATGTATACTTTTATTCATTTTCTTAAAGACTGAAATCACAAAATATAATGAACACAACACACAGCCACTTTTCGATGATCAGAGATGTTCACTGAATCAATAATTTTTACTCTGCTATCGCTTCCATTATTTGAAAGTGATTGCTTCGTTCTTTGCACTTTAAATGCAGCTCCTCTGTGACCTGGAAGGAATAGGTAGTAGATTTCTTTGGTGTCTTAACGCATACTCCCTTCAGTGGGTTTTCCAGCTGTAAATACCTGCAGCACTGTCCACACGTGTGGTTACTTAAGGTCAAGATCTAGTAAATAACTTTAGACTAATTTTTTGGTGCTAGATCCATTATGACGTCACAATCAATTTCAACTTTCTTTTCCCGTACTTTACGGCTTTAGCAGAATTATGTAGAAAAAAGGGTATTTTCAGGACATTCAATTTAAAATTATATGAAAAGTAAACCGGATACCTATATTAAATTTGATATTAATTTAAAGAAGAGGCCACGAACATACTAATTACCGTTTTCTGAGAGAATGTAGGCAATCTGGATACATTTCCTCTGTCGAATATGAAAAAAAAAAATCCCATATTCATGACTGGTTTTCTTAATTTTTCATTGAAAATGACAGTTTAAAATACAGTTTTTAATCTTGTTTACCTAAAAATTATGCCCCGAAACACGTTATTTGACCTAGCTAAGGTTGTAAAGCATCAATAAAGGAATTTATTTCTCAAATTTGATAAATCTGTAGGCACCTTTC